CCATCTAGATATAAATATCTCCCTCTTCATCTTTCCTTTCATTTAATAGGACACTGACATGCATTTGCTGGGAGTCTGTCTCTTTTTTGTGTCAGTAAAATCTAGTGTTCATAAAGAACACAGAGGACATAAACTTGAGTGTGGGGACTATTAAAGATCTGTTTTGTTATGTGTGCCACTGCATCCACTGAGAGTCTAAAATTAGTCTGAAATTCTGTTGATGTCCCATTCAACCTTTGCCTAGACATCTGTTTATTTATGGCCTCTGTTATGCACATCAGGCAGTTTATATCAGATTTAAAGTGCAACAGTTTTAAAGGAGGTTAAATTAGCATCCAGGAAAGAACGTGATAAAGACAATGAAGGCAGTGTGAGAAGGCGCACAGTGTGTCGACACAGGGGCAACAGGGACATAGGCCAGTGGGGAATGTGGGGTTTCCTGGAGGTACATGACCTCATAACCAATTAGTGATCTTTTTATAGCATCTCAGTCCTATTACTTCTGCCCTTTTTCATCCTGCTCTTCCATATACAGCTTTCCACGGCTTTAAATTTAGCATGACTCCATCCTTTTCTGATTCACTACTATTCTGTTGTTTGTACAAACAGATAGCAAGTAACACAAGAAATTCACCCTGCTATTTATGAATCATTTTTTCTTCCAACATCAGCATTTTCTGTTGCTGACAGCGCTACACCTTCTCTCCCCATTCGGTTTTGTGCTACCCTGGTCATCTCCACCCTCACTCTGTCAGTACCTCTCTGCCCTTGAAGTGTTTGATTCAAACATGGTCCCGGACACTGTAGACCCTCTCCAATATGACGAGTCGGGTTACAGAAGCTTGTTGAACAACATTCTTGTTTATGGAGAGGAGAATGACCTCAGCCTCAACATAATCAAGACAAAAGAAATAATAGTAGACTTCAGGAAGAACCCCTACCCTCTGCTGCCTCTGACCATCAAAGGGACTGAGGTGGAGAGGGCTGACAGCAACAAGTTCCTGGGCTTGCAGGTGACATCTGACCTGATCTGGACACAGAACACAGCCGCCACAGTGAAGAAAGCCCAGCAGCAGCTATACTTCTTTAGGCGGCTCAGAAAAGCTGGGTTGAACCATTGCTCTCTTACCCAGGCTTATAGAGGACTGGTAGAGAGCATCCTCACTACTGGCATCACAGTCTGGTATGGTAGCACCACACAGGCAGAGAGGAAGGCTCTTCAAAGGGTCATAAAGACTGCAGAGAGGATAATTGGGACTAAACTCCCTGCTATGGACACACTATACACACAGCGTTGTTGTAAAAGAGCAGAGAACATAATCAGAGACTCACTCCACCCAGCTCACACTCTGCTCAGACACAAAAACTGCACCCACAGCCTCAGGCACAGCAGAGTGGACAGTATCATCACACAGAAGAAGATTTTACAACAGCTTTTTTCCTGCCACAGTAAGGCTGATGGCAAATACAAAATGTGAAAAACCTGTGCAATAACCCCTCATTACCCTACTAAGTAGAAGACCATATACAATTCCACTATGTGCAATATCAGAAACTCCCCATTTTACTTGCTATCTTATTCCTGTATACAAAACTTTATCAAATATTTGGTATTCTTGGGTGATCTTATATTTAGACTAGGTGTTTGTTCTTTTGGCTTTAAACTCTTTACTTGACTCTAGGAGAGCCCTGCACAACAATTCCTATATGCCTAGACTGTCTGTTTATGCATAAATGGCAAATGAAAATCTTGATTCTTGATTCAAATAGACTCCCTCCAGGGCAGGAGGAGGGAAAACAAACAGATAGGGTCATTATTCATATCTGCCATGATGCTATAGCAACAGTGTCCACCTGCTGCGATTGGTCTTAGATAAAGGTGCCTCTTTAGCCATTTGTTTTACTACACATTATTTAGCCATTGTCAAAGGCCCACACTGTCAGTCATCTCCTAACAACTGTTGCTATTGACCAATTTCTGCATCTGTGCCTTAATTTCCTCTAGATGATTTATAGGGAAACCCTGCATCATGTGCTCAATGCTGTGGTTTGTTTGTGTACACAGGTGACTGTGTTCAACCAGTAGATCCAGTTTTTGGACAACATTTGGATCAAAGATGAGTTCACTGCATTATAGGCTCCCACAAAGGTGGATTCAGCATTATGGAATTGTGTACTCTATTAATCAGAATATTTAGTATCTAATACTTGTGCTGAAGCCTTTATATGATTGCAAACCAGAATATCAGAGCATATATGTTTAAGATAAAAGCAATACACCCTAGGATTACAGTTTCTCTGTGAGTCACCATAACTCAGGTCAGACAGGAGCCCTTCTCTTAAACCTCAGAACTAAGATCAAGAGAGAGCTGCTGGTTCTGAGCAGTGTATCCCCATGTTTGAGAAAAGTTGATTTTGAAACCTTTTTATAAAACTGTTATCAGTGGAGTGCATACAGATGCCAGTGTCTGAAATGAATATTTTACATGAGTAAAGAAATAAGCCCTTAAAAAGAATACTGCATGGATTTAGAATTGGCATGTTTTTACACAACTCAAATAGCACTGTTACAAATTCCCTCAGTGTCTACAGAACCCAAATTTTAATAGTGGTAATTTTTGTGAATTATATGAAAGAAAATACAATTCAATTACAATAAAACTTTATCCCTTATCCCTCTACTTAGTAATTCACTCATCTCTCTTTCAACAATCTTGATAGTTCTTTCAGTAGTTCTGAAAACTGCCTTCAATATAACCTGATCCAGTAAGAGGCCTTATCAGGACTGCTAACCCTGCAGAGCGAGTGTAATGTTTCAGGGAAGACACTGTACATATTCTAACAAACTCTTTAATCTGACCTTTGACCTTTAGTCTGTTGTGTGATGTCAGTGAATTTATGGATCTGAACAAAGAGTCTCCTATTAACAGCACATAACAGTAATTAATAATAAAGTACACACACTATATACAGTACATAAAATAATTTTGGTTATTGTCACAAGTAACTTTTATTTAAGTTGTACATGGGGTTGATATTACAGGCTAGAGAGCAGTGCAACATTTCCTCTGGTATTTCTTGCTATGGTGTACGGGGTAGTCACTTACAGTATTCAGATCAAACATGTTCAAGAATAATATACTTCAAAGTGAATGAAATCATTTTTTGTTTACCCCACGAGTACTGGTTGACACATTAGTTGTCATACAGTAATAAAAGAGGTGTAGTCTGCGTACTTGCTTGTTTGCATGATTGGTGAAGTATGTGTGTGTGTGTGTGTGTGTGTGTGTGTGTGTGTGTGTGTGTGTGTGTGTGTGTGTGTGTGTGTGTCAGGTTGCTGTTTCCTGACAAACTTCCCAATCTTCTGTACTCTGTTGTGAATCAGTCATCACCTAGTGCAGTTGCTACTGGGGACATTCTGCTCCTACAGAACTGAATGCTACTCTTTGAGTTGATTTTACGGCGGTGTCACAGCAGGGGGTTTGAGTGGCAGGCAGTGATAGGCCTCTCCACTTTAGAGAAGCCATTAGAGGGTGAAACCTCTGTGAAATAGCATGAAGATAATGTTTAACCCTAGTTCACTGATGGATCCCTAAAGCTTTTTCACCCAGCTGTTTCATCTAACATTAACCATGTCACTGATTTAGTGGATACTGAGTAGGGTCAGCACTGTGAGAAAATAGACAGCCTGTCTGGTAGTCTGTTCAGTGTGGTTGAGGACACAATGAGGGCTCTGTATGTGGCCACAGGTCTATAGTTAGCTGTACAGTGAGTAGTAAATAATAAACAATACACTTTTTTTGCATTCACCATCCAGCTTTTATCTAAGCATACTTAAGTTTTGTTGTAATGTTGTTTGACTTTGTCAATTCTTCACCTACTGACTAAGAACCTAATTAAAAACAAACTAAAGCCATTGTTGTAAGCCTTAGCTGTACTTTTTGTATATTGCTAATTAGAAAATTTGACTGTGAATATGGAAAAAATTATGCCTGCTTAACATCAGCAGGTAAGTATTGTCCTTATGACCATGTGAGCCTGCTGATTACGGAAGAGTATTAGGGCCACTACATAAATTTTTTTTAAAATTCTGACTTCATTCATTCAAGTCAGAATTCTGAATTTTAAGTCAGAATTCTGAATTTTAAGTCAGAATTCTGAATTTTAAGTCAGAATTCTGAATTTTAAGTCAGAATTCTGAATTTTAAGTCAGAATTCTGAATTTTAAGTCAGAATTCTGAATTTTAAGTCAGAATTCTGAATTTTAAGTCAGAATTCTGAATTTTAAGTCAGAATTCTGAATTTTAAGTCAGAATTCTGAATTTTAAGTCAGAATTCTGAATTTTAAGTCAGAATTCTGAATTTTAAGTCAGAATTCTGAATTTTAAGTCAGAATTCTGAATTTTAAGTCAGAATTCTGAGAATGAAGTCAGAATTCAGAGAATAAAGTCAGAATTAAAAAAAAAAAATTTTATGCAGTGGCCCTAATACTCTTCCATAGCTGATTAATATGAAACCATCCTAACTCCAATTTAATAGATTTTACCACATTTTATATTATAAAATGTTCATCCACCTAAAAACATACTGCCTGAAAACATAAACATTTGACACATTGGAGAAGATGTTTACCAGTTCATATATATTGCATTCTGTGATGCTTTTCCTCTCGTTTGTTGGTTGCAAAGCGTATTTTCCACTCAAACACACCCACACGTGGATAATCCTGATAAGTGAGTCATGAATAAATAAGGGGTCCAGTCCAATCCAATCCATCAGCTCTCAGCCAATCACGCAGTTAGTCTGACTCTTTCAAAGGTTTGTTTACACTGTCAGGTTATTGGAATTTACTTACTATCAGCACTTTCATGCTGTAATCAAAACACACAGAATGTGTACTTTGGATGGGGTGTAATAATCGAAATAAAAAACTCGTGCACGAGTGCACATCTGATATTATTCTCTTCCTTACATATTTCTTTTATAATTTTGTCTTTCAGATCCTGGCCATCATCTCCATTCTCTTCATTGTGCTATCCACCATTGCCTTGTCTTTGAACACACTTCCTGAGCTGCAGGACACAGACGAGTTTGGCCAGACCACAGACAACCCACAGCTGGCCCATGTGGAAGCTGTGTGTATTGCCTGGTTTACTATGGAGTACCTGCTTCGCTTCCTCTCCTCCCCCAACAAGTGGAAGTTCTTTAAGGGCCCTCTGAATGTCATTGACCTGTTGGCCATCCTGCCATATTATGTAACCATCTTTTTGACAGAATCCAACAAGAGCGTGCTGCAATTTCAGAACGTCCGCCGCGTGGTCCAGATTTTTCGGATCATGCGTATCCTGCGTATTCTGAAGCTGGCCCGTCACTCCACAGGTCTTCAGTCTCTGGGTTTTACCTTGAGGAGGAGTTACAATGAGTTGGGCTTGCTTATCCTTTTTCTGGCCATGGGTATCATGATCTTTTCCAGTCTGGTGTTTTTTGCTGAGAAGGACGAGGAGGATACAAAATTTAAAAGCATTCCAGCTTCTTTCTGGTGGGCTACTATTACTATGACCACAGTAGGCTATGGAGATATTTACCCAAAAACTTTACTGGGAAAGATTGTAGGGGGGTTATGCTGCATAGCTGGAGTATTGGTGATTGCCCTACCTATTCCCATTATTGTAAATAACTTCTCTGAATTCTACAAGGAACAGAAGAGACAGGAAAAAGCACTTAAACGAAGAGAGGCCCTTGAGAGGGCAAAGAGAAATGGTAGCATTGTCTCAATGAACTTGAAAGAGGCATTTGCTCGAAGTGCAGAATTGATGGATGTGGTGGTAGAAAAAAGTGACAGGCCTCATGACAACCACCTCTCTCCAAGTCGTTGGAAATGGAGCTCCAAGAGAGCTGCATCAGAGACAAGTTCAAACCGTTCATTCATCACCCAGGAGATAGGCTCTCCTAACAAGGCCCGAGCCACCAGTCCACAGAGGCTAAATGTTCAAAAGCTAGAAGAGATGTATAACCAAATGGCAAAGACACAGTCACAACCCAACCTCAATGCTAAAGACAGAGGCTCCAGAGCTGGCAAACAGAGAAATGAGATAGAACTGGGGCCCATCCAGGATCACAGGCCACCAGGGTTAGGAACCAGAGAAGGAGTGGGGGACATGAAAAGCTTGTCCAGCATTGACAGCTACATCAGTTGTGCTACAGACTTTCAGGAGAATCCACGATTCTCCCATAGTCCAGCAGTAGACCATGGTCTTCAGGAAAGCAGTCGGTTTTCCCATAGTCTGGCTGCAGCTTTGACCCAGCAAGCCAGGGCAAGTACAGGCCAGCAAACCACTGGGGAGCATGAGCCTGTGCTGACTCCTGTATCGATCACAAAGCCCTCGTGCTCAGAGAACACAAGGAAATTTTTCTTTTCTGGCAACTCCTCAAAAAACCTTATCCACACAAGAGACAGTGAAGGGGAGTCAGGCCCTTCCCCTCTCTCAGATAGCTCAGTCCTGTCAGACCACTCTCTGTTAAGCCCTGAAGTTTCTGTCTACACCACCGCCAGCAGCAGGACCCCACCCAAGTCCCCGGAGAGCACTGCCCTGGCCCCAAGTGTGTTCACCTTTCATGACTCCTCCATCAGCAAATACATTGATGCCGATACGGATGATGATGAGCACCTCCGCGACATCTCAGACACAAGTCCCTCAGAGCGTCTGCTGAGTGGATCAAGCCCAAAACGCAGCATCAACATCAATTTCCAGAGGGGCACCAACCATTTAGAAGCAGCCCAGAAACTACTGGGTCAGAACTGCTTGTTCCCCATTGAAGGAATTCGTGGGGTAGCTCATGAGAATCATGTAGGGCCTGAGATGGTGCGTAGACCAAAGGTTGAGAGAGGGCGTCAAAATACTTTGGATAAAAGCCTCTGAGACACAAATGGAGCAGAAACAAGCTGGAATCTGGGGCCAGGGTATTTGTGATAGAGACACCAAACAGACTAAAGCGCTCCAGAGACAAAAGAAGAGTGGGAGACATGGATCTCCCCGAAACATTTCACAAATGACCTGAGCATTCCACTGGGCAGAAAGCTCTGTGTGATCATATGTGGTGAATACTCTGGGAGACAAACATTTCTAAATTGGAGAATGTCACTGCCCCTCCTCCAGATTGTTCCTTTTAGCAGTATTCCACACTCACAAAACAAAGGAGAATTCCCAGGCAGAGTTGTTGGAGAAGCCAAGTTTAGTGGTTGAAACTGGTGTAACATGCCTGAATGAATGGATTTTAGCGGCAGAGGTTTATTTCTACATTCTCTAGGGAAAAAATCCCTGCTACCCACTGTTCCATTGCAGTTCATTTTATAGTCTTGGAGATACAGGACAGGACCTAGAAGCCTATAAGCTACTCACTTATGCTCTCCATTCCCAAACCTGGCCTTAGTCATTTACATTTGTAGGGGTGTGCATGGCTGCATATATATGTATGTGTGTGTATGTATGTGAGAGAGTGTGAATGTTTATAGTAATTCATGTATAAACACTCTTGAGATTGTCTTATCTGATTTATTTTTATATAGATAAGAGAATGTTCCTTATAGAATACGTGATTTGCTAGTCTGCTGTGTCATAATCATATGTGAAGAGTAATCCTGTATAAGGCTCGATGTCTCAGCACAGAGCCTGCAGTTATCAGAGGAACAGGCCCATTAGTGCTTTTTCCTGAACAGTATTTTTCTGTCCACTATCATAGTGAGAATAGACAATAGGTTCACATCGCTACCACTGAATATTGTCTTAGCTCCTCAGTATTATTTTCAAAGGATGATAGCAATGGACCAAGAATTTTTGCTATTATAATATGAATTGCTGCATAAGCTGCACATTTATGAAGCATGCATGTGCCCAGTCAGTTAACATACAAAAACATCATGAGTTGCTTGTCCTTCATATATTAAGAAATAATTAAATTATAAGAAACTCCTCTTTTTTATGATTACAGTTTACTGACATGAGGTTTAGATTTAAGTAACAGATGTTTAGCATGCATTGGCCTTCCTTTGGCGTAACATGAAAGCAGCCAAAGAGATCATACCAACAGCAGGGAAGTTATCCATCTCTACTTTAACCATCAAAGTTAGCACTAAGAGCAATGAATAGACAAACCAAGTTGGCTTTCCCATAAATCATTTGTAATGCCAGAACTGATAAAACCCACACATGAGCACACACGCCCACCCACAGAAGATACATACAGGTATCTAAGAAAATTTTCCAGATACATAGATACACTTAGTTTCCATGGCGACTGCAACTGTCCACAAAGGCTGGCAGCAGCTCCACAATGGTTTATTAATTGGGGTGGGGAGGATTAATGACATGTAATGTATGAGCACACATAAAGCAGAGCAGGCATGCACCCATAAAATGATGGGTATGCACAAGATGTTAGCAGAGCCATTTCTCAGTGTGCAGATTCACAAGTACTGTGTAAATGGGACATTATGATGCAAGCACCTTGCACATAATGTTTGTCTAAAATATTTGTAGCATCCCATAAATAATTATAATTCCACATAAAATAAATTAGTTTTAGTTTCTTGGCTGTTAGGAGTCCAGAGTGGTTTCCTTGTTATCTGTTTATTTTGCCACACAGGAGAGAGGAACAGTCTTATATAACTGAAAAACATAAAAACATGAGCACAATAAAAGCACAGTAAGACAATTAAAGATATTTATAGCACTCATACTACCTTGAATTTAACCTTCACACCCATTAAGATCATGCTAACATCAGCAGAGTTACAGTAAAACGGGCCATTAATTGCCTACAGCTAACCTTTCCCCCTACACTTTAAAATGTGAAAGCACAATATTTTAAGTCCTTTAAAAAAAATCTAGAGCAGAATATATTTTCTTTTATCACAACTCAGTTATCAGAACCACACTGCCAACTACATGAATGCTCTGCAAAAATGACCAAAATAAAAGCTTTCTTTGTTCTTTCTGAGAAATATAATGGTAAAAGATGCTATTAAAGAGGCCATTGCATTATTCTAAATGTGCAGTAGGTGTATGTGTTGACTGAAATTTGCTGAAAATGTCAATAGAAAGTGGTTGAAACATAGTCTAATCACAAACTCTGATTTCATTTCCTGTTTTAAACCCAGAGTTGAACCGTTTCATGTTGCTCTTCCACAGCTGAGAAGTGAAAGAAATAGCAATGACTGTGAGAGACAGAAGGAAACTGTGTGAGTATATGTATGTGTGAGTGACTGCAGCAAAGCCAGAGCATTATAGCAATGTGGCTGCCACTTAATAGAAAATAATGAACAGTTTCCATTATGAATGTAAGCACATCAGGAAAATCCTGCTTTTATTTTCTCTATATAAGATCTGCTGTTCTGTCTGTAACATGCAGAAGTAAGACATTTTAATTCCAAGAGAATTTTAATTACATGAGAAAGAAGGATTAGGTTGGCACAACTTTAATTTTTGAAGTGCAGCTCCATTTGCAGCTGAGAAGAAAGGGATGGGAGGAGCAGTGTATGAAGCTTATGTAGCATATATTAAATAATTAGGCAATGATGGATGACAATTCACTTTATGAAGCATCAGTGAAAATTCTAATTATTGCCCTTTGTTCGAGATAAACTAAAGAAAAAGCTACGTTCACAAGGAGAACAAGAAAAACAATCACCCTCAAAAGGGTCGTTAAATATTAACTTAGGTTTTATCTGTAAAAAGGAGTTTCAAACTGAAATGATTTAGTTTTAAAATTAAAAAAAAAATCTTATTGCATAACAACTGACTGCAAATATTTCAAGGTCTCAAAAATCTAGATGAATGGCTGCTCACTTAGAATATGTTTACTTTCCTCAATAAATGTATAATTTGTCATACCACTTTATTAGGTGGCACTGGTTCAATTCCACAGTGAAAACATAATAAAAAATACAAGCTTGGTCCAGTACATCTTATTTTCTTTTGTTAAAATGACATCAATCTCAAGTTCATGTTAGTTCCTTTTCATTGCACATTTATCTTTAGCTTGTGAGAAGTCAAGGCCAGTGTCCGCCAAATATAACTGTTTGTGCGAGAAGATTTCAGAATGTTTTCTCTGGTGGTGAAGAAACAAATTTCAGCCAGACATGCCCTGCTGAGTGCATTGCATGATTAAATAAATGGATAATTAAGTTTCATTTTTCAGCACTAGGCTAAAGGGCATTCAGATCACGGAATCTGTCCCATAATTTAGATTTCCTATCTTATGGTAGTCAGGGACCATTTTCACTGAAGTATCTCTCAACAATGATGACAATCAATGTTTCATGAATAGGCAGCAAGCACTGTTGTAGAGAACTGAGATTTGTTATGGGCAAATATTACACAAACCTCCACCCATGTGCATATACACATACAAGGTTGAAAAAACATAGAAAAACATCATCTGGACTTGGTTTTAGGTAGAAAACCTACCTAAAACCAAGAAAACCTACCTAAAACCAAGCCTAGATGATTTTTTTCTACGTTTTATCAACTTACTATGACCTGGACCACTGAGAATTTGCACGGACATACACATACAAGTATTACAATGCTGATGCTAGTATTAATATTCTTAGAAAAGGCAGGAAGCATCAAGCATGATGCTGTAATTTGATACCTAGACTGTGATACTGTGACATGATACCACCATACTACAAAAGCTATTTTTACAAATTATTTTGTTTTTATTTTATTTTTAATCTCTCTTTACCTCCATTTCCAAGGGGAACATTCAAATTAACAAATTCTGATACTATAACACAGCTTTTATTTTCACTGAGGTCCCTGTGGAGAAATTCTAAAGTGACTTGTTTTATTCCTCATTTACTGATACAAAGAGCACAAAGTTTTCCATACAAGATTCCTAACTCTACAGTAAAAGCACTTCTCTGAAATCTAATATTTGGTTGTTGCGCTAGCTGCTAAATTTACCTGTAAAGCACTTGAAGTCTTTTTCATTTTTATTACAACCGCACACGACATTTTCAAGGACAAGTGGTGGTTTTAAAAAACCGAATTTGAACTATTTCTTTAGCAAGCAGGCCAATTCCACACACTCTGAATTAAACATTGTATTACAGGACTGGGATTAATTCAAGATATTTTGATGGAGTGAAGCACACATCACATATGACACCATAAAGGGAACCAGTATTACAGCGTGAGACAAATTAAACCTAGTGCAAATTAAAAACACAAGCTATAATTTTTCTGTCTTAAGCTCTCAGTGGAATTGACCCCAACTTTGCCTAAGCCATCAGTCTTTGTAAAGTACACTGTTTCCAGGGAACTGAAAAAAGATATTCGAATGACCTTAGCCAGCTCTTATACATTGTTGTTTGTAGGTCCTGAGGCTGTCTGTTTTGTAAAAAAGGAGAAAAAAATTTCTACCTGTTGACTTTCTATGCTGTTGTTTCTGTATAAATGTTCTGTTGTTCAGTGCATGTTGTAACTTTGGCGTTGTGACTGGTTGTGATTCACACAGAGCCAGTACTTGTCATGTTTTAAAAAAAAAAAGTGTCTCACTGTCCCCAGATATTTCCTATTTCTTAAGCAACATTTCGGTTGGATGATTCAAAATGAAATAAATCAGATCACTTTACATTTTGATTAGGAATTGCTGACTCTCATTTTACAGGTAATTTAAAGTTTTGGTACACAACAAAATAGGAATATTTGTACTAAGGTTTATGTTATGTAGTAAGGACAGTTAAATAAGTAAGAACAAAACAGTCTAACTATGGAATAAGATTTTTAATGGCACACGTTCAGCCATAATAATAAAATACTTACATGAAGTAGCACTAATCTGAAAACGATTTGGTTTGGCTGTAACACTAAAAATGCACAACTGAATAATGACGAGCACCCTTTGGTTTAACAACCAGTGTGTAAGTATTGTGGCTGGTTTGCAATTATGCTCACAGATAGTTTGTTATATACAGTATATTTCTGAGTAAATATGTAAGGGAGGGAGGCTAACAGAAGGAAGGATGATAAAGAGGAGGCTGTGGGCTGCTGGGCAGGAGCAGGCCTCCAGCCCCCCCCCACACGTCTCTGCACAGCCCTTCATCACGGATTTCCCACTGCCTGCCACCGGAGAGACTGTCCTCTGCAGGAAGGAGGAAGGGAGGACTGCTAGTGGTCATAAGAATTCTTTTCAAGTCAAAATGATAAACAATATGGCCATCTAGTGGCAGTTCTGCAACATCAGCTTTGCAAGAGTTGGCATTAATCCCCAAACTTGGGAGTAGAATCTGGGTGAAGTGAAGTCTGTTTCCTTGTATATACGTGTTTCCCTTGCCGCATCTGAAGCTAGCCTTCACCCTAAGCCCAGCCAGTTACCTCTACCTACTTCTGAGCTGTGGGATCTAGGTTTACTGATCTAAAAGGTAGAGTGTAGATTAGTGGTCTTGGATGACAAACAAACAAATCCTCAAAATGTGACCCATCACAGCCAACCTATATACTCCACACATCACTTCACCTCTAAAATTCAAACATAGATAAAACTAAGGGTTATACATGATCTCTTTTAGCAGATGCCAGAACCATGGTTTGAAATCATGTTCTTATTGTCAGCATTGGTGGCTGCACAGGTAAATGTTTTAAGTATGTGAAAGCTCTTCTCATTGAAATACAAGTCCACACAAAGACATACCACCTTTGGCTATGATTAGGATAAGGGTGTGTCCCCAGAATAAAAGACATCTACAAATAAATCACTTTCACTTAGTAAGTGTTAAAAATATAGTCAGTAGCATAAAACTTTTTCCTTCAGTAATTTACCACACCAACCAAAAATGTAATAACAGAAAAAAATTATATTTGCTTTTACTTAACTTGGCATATAATGGAAATAGAACCCTAAAATGTTCAGGTAAAATGCACAGCATAACTGCCTATCATACCCTAAAAGATATCCAGCTCTGATCCAGATAAAAGATTTAGGACACATTTTATACTGTTCTAGATCTCGTTCTGGACCCATTTGTGTGAGCAAATGTTGTGCCTTGGCGGAGGTACATGTGCTCTCTGAGTGCTCTTGTTCAGGTTTGCATTTAGGGAAATACACTTATTTGGTTTCTTGCTATGAATTCTTCCTACTCCATTCAAGCATGTACTAGGTATAAGCAAATTGATATTGGATTATGTGTAAAATTATGTGTGTTGTCATATCAACTGTTTCTACATGCTTGAAAGAATAAATCAAATCAAATCAAATCAAATTAGATGAGAAGATTACATTAAGTATGATGCTAAAGCCAGTAGCCAGTTAGGTTAGCAACAATATAGGAAGTAGCAGGAAACAGCTAGAATAAACACCTCTTTAAAACAATTTCAACACAATCTGAACATTATCACTTTCACAAAGGAAGGATTTATTGCAGGACTGCTGGATTAGGCTGCATCAGTTTTTTTCTTTTAAGGTGTGCCTAGTAAACTGCCAATTGAGTGTATCACCAGTCAGTCCAGTTTGAAAATATGGTGTTTGAGATGAGCTCATACAGTGTGCACCTCTAGGCTAATGGCAACAAAATTCACCTCGCAGCAGCTCTCATTTTCACACTTGTTTTTGTGCAGATTAAACAAGCTAGTTATAGCATGTAAATTAATGAGGTGGTGTTAGCCATTTTACCCTGTTTCTGGTTTTGGTTTGGTTCTGACAAAATGTAAGATGTAGGAGCAGATTACATTATAAACACATTTGCAAGTTTCTGTGCACAAGAAAACTAACATCCAGGAAGTTCACCTTACATTTGTTAGTGTAATAGTGCAGTGTAGTCTTTACATATAGGGGGTAGCTGTGGCTCAGGAGGTGGAACAGGCCATCACCTCACCGGAAGGTTGGCGATTTGATTCCCAGTTTCTCCAGTCCACAAGCTGAACTATTCTTCAGCAATACACTGAATGTCCAATTGCTCCTGATGATATCACCAGTGCGTGAGTGCTTGGGAATGTGAAGAGGTGAATGGGCAAATAAAGTGAAAGCGCTTAGAGTGCACTGCAATGCATAGAAAAGCACTATACAAGTATAAGACCAGTTACCATTTACAGATAAGCAAAATGAACTCAAGCTAATTTCATAGTTGAGTAAACTCTTGGCTGACCTTACAAAACAAATACCTTATCTATCTCTTATGGCCATTAACATGTCATGAACAACACAAGTTTGAAATTATGAAGCCATCCAAATACTAAGATTGTTTGACTGTCAAACCTAACTAAAATATTATTGTTGTTTGTGTTCATTTTATCTTTGTGAAATACCCCGAGCTAAGAGCTCTGATAGGATGTTGTAATAAGGAAATTCCTAGTAATCTTTGATTATTGTACCACATCCTTTATTTTTTCCCACACACTGCTGATATCCTTTAGTCAGAGAGGTCAACTGAAACTGGACACCGTGCCTATTTTCAGTGTTGGGGAAGCTACTTTGAAAGCGTAGCTTTGCAGGCTACCAATTACTTCACCCTGGAAGAAGTTAAACTACAGCAAAGCTACTCTAGTGAGAAATCTAGTTTGGTTAACTAAAGTAACTGAGAAAGAGTAGTTCAGACTACTAGTTTAGTTATTTGCAGTTCACTACTCCCCAAACCTGCCTATTTTACATAACACACATGCAGGCAGACACATGTGCTCACACACATACACAAAAACAACTTGCACTGAAGAGTGACGAAGGCTGAGAACATATCAAGACAAGTGTGTAATTTCACATTTGTCTGGACTGTCTGGATTAGTTACCCTACAACAACACTGCTGTCCGTAATGTCTTTGTTATTCCAGCTGTTGCCATAGCCACCAGTGGTAAGTGTTAGGACTGTAGAGGGAGCACCCATAATAAGAACATAACAACTGACCATATGTTGCAAGCTAGTTGCAACGTGGCCCTCACGCATTTAAAATGAGCATGCTTTGGGAAAATGTTCAGTGTTTGAATGAAAGAAGTTGAAAATCTGCACCCTTGTTTTAGCATCTTGTATAATTTAGCCACATTTATCAAGAAAGAGAAAAAAAATGAAAGGAACACAGCTTCACTCATAGACTTTATCAGGTGATTTTAGATTTCACATTTGACCTTTATGGGCAGTGTCAGTAAATCATACTGCAGATCTACAGACCCAGACATAGCACCATCACGCTTACAGTGAAACATACAGTCACAATAACATAGCTGTACTCATTCAACTGTATAAATCTTTGTGAGCAAAACAGAATAAGGTCACTTGCAAATTTCTGAACCCCTCTTGCATAATTCAAGCTAGTATTCATGCTCTATTTTCAGTTTAAACAATGTTTTCTCTATTCAGGAGGTGATTATCAAAACCATCATCTCTTTTAACTGAGTGCTTCAGTGTCAGTGCAGTAAAGGTAATGAATATTATGACCTATATCTACAAGTGTTTGAAAAGAAGGAAGCAATGAAAAAATATCCTCATTTTGTCATTTTTGCATGTGATTCTTTGTTTCACCAAAGATCCTCCCTGAAAATACCAAAACAGTGTCGCATCACAGTTCTTTAAATTACTGATGAATCACATCTGTAATAATTTGCCTTCTGATCTGGTATTCTAATGTGACTATATAAATAAGTAATGTAATGTGTTATTTGCATATTCAATTTACACTACTGTGTCTTTTCCAGGTCAGTTAACAACTGAATGGTGCTTTTTTTAACATTGCTTGAGGCTAATTCCAAACTGTCCCAGTGACAATGAACCTCTGAGGAAACCTTGTCTAACTATCCTTTAGAATAACAGTGTTGGCCAAAGTGATCTTTTAAACCAGTCAAATGCTTCACACCATAGCTTTAAGCTTAATAAAGTTTGCCAATTTTACAAATATGACCCAAATATGTTTTTAAAGAACACTAGAGAATTATATAATGGTCATGTATGAGCAAAGTGGTAAATTTGTGGAAGAATCAAACTAGATTTCTCTCACCAAGTGAGTTGTGCCACTGCACTTGTTTTGACAAACAGTCTGCTCGTGCAACCACCATGCAACTGTAGCACGGTCCTGCTTTGCTGGCAAACTGTGGCCCTGCATGGCTCTATACAGCCTGACCACTCTGTCCACCTGTAAAGAGAGTCACCAAACGCTGATGTGTGTTATCAGAAAGAAATAATTTGCTGTATGTTTGCTGTAGTACTCCCATAGGTTTCTGGCCCATGACCTGAAGAGGTTGAATTAGTCAAGACTTGTATGCCCATCATTGACCATATGGCCACAACATACATTTCAGAAAAAAATAATCTGGCATTCTCATTTAATTCACTCACATTCTCTCATTGTATTCTTGTAATTTTTGAGTGTTGGCGAATGTTTTGAATGGACAGAGATGAAAAAGTAGCCTATGATTTGCCTTGAACAACCCCTAACCACCAACACCTGCACATAAAATATCCATTATTTTGTTGTTAAATTTGCTAAATAATGTGACATGGTAAATTTAGTGCATTTATAAAAAACATTTAATAGCAGCTATACAGAGTTTGTTTACCTCTGAAAAGAATTCCCACTCAATGGAGAAGAAATTTGAACATATGTGCACTCCACGGGTAGGAGGGCAGTATTACACCATGCAGTGCAAAGCCTGCCGGAAAACTATTAGAGGAAGAAGCAGCAGCAGCAGCAGCAGCAGAAGAAGAAGAGGAGTCTGGCGTATTTCCGGTGAAATCTCGGGTAGCTTCCTAATGTTTGCATGCTACACCGTTGTGCTGTTTTATTGTTTTTATATGAAAAAAAAATCTTGTTTTTATTGGACGTTCGAAGTTTTTTTGCGTTTTGCCATGAGCTCTAAAAGTGTGAAAGTAATTAAACTTCAAAGACGAGAGGACAGTGGTTGCTGCCATCACTGCTGTGTCCCAATGTGTACTGCTTCTGCCAGGTTCAACTCTGTTATGAGTTTCCACGTGTTTCCCAAAGACAAAGAACTGCAGAAGAGGTGGCTAGCTAATATTCGGCGAAACAACCTTACTATCAACAAGCAAACAAGAGTCTGCAGCCGACACTTTAAGAGTACAGACTTAATAGAGTCACCGACTTCAGCCAGGCAACTGAAAAATGGCGCCGTCCCGGTGCTTTTTCAGTGGAACAACTTCACCCCTCCTGTCTCACAGGCCGACGGAGACCAAAATGATGACCCCCCAATGGATGTAGAACACAACGATCATAACTACTGCTCCACCGCTGAACCTACGGCACTCACTGATCGTCTCTGTGCGCAGATAGAAAGGTTACGGGGACAAATAGAAAAAAGGGTTGTCGGCAACAAGTTCGGATTGGAGCGATTTTCAGCTTCCGATGATGACATAAGGTTTTACACAAGGTAAGTTAAAATGTAATTTCTTCAACATTTCTAGCTGGATTCGAGGCTATAAATCATATGTTCAATGATGATGTAAGTTAATGCATGAATTGCTGTAAGATGTTTCATAGGCTTACCTAATGCACATTCCTTTGCTTGTTGATGTGTACGTACACATTGAGAGCCGCTGTACCAAAGTCACATTCCTCGTGTGTCCTACAAACCTGGCCAAAAAAAAAGCGGATTCTGATTCTGAACTTCTGTTACTCATTCACAAATGATCACTGACCTTATGTGATTAGTTTATACTTAATAGATAACCTATTTAAGAAACATTCGTTCACATTTACTTGATGCCTATATTGGTATTCCGCCATACCTTGGATGAGCACTGCTGTGTTTGTTTCTTACTACTCTGTGTACATCCCATAGTGAAAACAAACTTGGAAATGTTAAACCATGGTATGGATTACACACTTTTATTTACCCTTCAGAAAGGCTGTTAATTACTACACCTCTATATCATTGTATTGATAAAATTTAAACTATGATGCAATTCATTTGTTACTTTTTGCAGTCATGTCAATGTACATTTCTGCCACAAAGATCAGGGACAGCGTGAAACACTGTAATAAATATCCTGTGATTGAAGAATGAATGAAAATCTTTTATCTTCCTCCTCCTCAAAACAACATACTGGTCTCTCACATATGGTCTGCCAATACTGTCATTGGCCTTTCACTGTGTACTGTACAGTTAAGTGCACATGTAACACATTTACATTTGCCCCACAGGTTTGCAACTTATGCTCACCTGATGGCCTTTTGGAGGCAGATCGAGCCGGCAGCAAACAAAATTGTGTGGTTGACAAGGGCAGCGAAGACTGCTGTCCCGCACCCTGGCAGTGCAACGGTATATTCTATTTTTTTAATGTTGTCCTTAGGAAGTGGAAAATGTAATTCCCAGTTAATTGTTTTGCTTTATAATACATTATAGTTGTCAGGTTTCTCAGTGTGTACAAGTCACCATCTTGAAGTGTCTTCCATTATGTTTGTGCTAGGTTTAACTTGTCAGGTAATGGTTTGTCTGTGTAACCTGAAAGTAAATGTATCTAAAATGTACTGTACTGTTCTTCTGTTTACAGTCTATGCAACCCATCGATGAGTTTTTTCTGTTCATGACCTATCTGTCGATGGGTCTGATGCAGAACGATCTGGCCCACAGGTTTGGAATCCACCCGTCAAGAGTGAGTTCCATCATAACAACATGGGCTGACTTTCTTTACACTGTACTTGGAGCTGTGGGAATTTGGATGTCTGAGGAGGCAGTAAAGGCTCAGCTGCCAGATGTTTTCAAAAACTGCTCAGATACACAAGTGGTGTTGAACTGTATTGAACTACGTTGCCTAACATCAGACTCCCTCCTCCATCAGAATGGTGATTTGTGTGTCTACAAATCTTACAGCACCTTTAAAGGGTTGATTGGAATGGCGCCTCATGGGGCAACGACCTTTGTGTCAGCTCTTTACACAGGTTCGATGAGTGATAAAGAGATCCTGAAGCAGTCTGGCATCTTGTCTCTTATCAGTCCAACAACAGCCATCATGGTAGACAAGGGTTTCCTTTTTGAGGACTGTGTGCCCTGTAAGGTCTACACACATGCCTTCCTGTCCAATCCAGCACAGCTGCCTGTGCCAGAAGTCAGGGAGGCACCGTCTCTTGTAAGACTGAGAGTCCATGTTGAGCAACTCATTCAAAGGGTGAAGGACCACAAGATCTTCAGTACAGTAATCCCGATGTCATTCTCAGGTAGCATCAATCAGCTCTACACAGTTGCCTGCATCTTGGTTAACTACCAAAATGGGCCATTAGTTAAGCACAACATTTAAACGTCGTTAGTTAATATGGAGCTAAATGTTACTTCACTTACTGCTGTGCAGTTTATTTTTGGAATGTTGTTAAAGAATCATGGAGTGTAATAACAGCTGAAAGGTGCCACAAGTTGGTTGACTCCATGCCACACAGATGTGAAGCAGTTATAAAAAACTGTGGTCATACAACTAAATATTAGTTTAGTGATTCACAGGATTGCTAAATCCTAGAAACAAAAACGTTTGTACAAAATAGTTTTGTGTTTGTACAGTCAACGGCAGACACTGCTATTTTTTTTAACACACCCCTTTCAACTAATTGCCCAATTGCACAGCCTTAAGAGCGTGCATATCATGAATGCTGGGTCTTGTTTGCTTTCTGAGAATCTACTGCACCTACTGGTAACTTGTTTGCCATGTAGCAATAAAAAATATACTAAAAACCTGGATTATTCTGGTTAGTCACATTGTACTGCTATTATTTTGAACAATACTGTATGTATATGTATATAAAGCTCAAGATAGTACAGTCCCTGTACAATCTCAACATGGAATGCAAGTGGTAAGATAGATATGGTAGACTAAAAACTACAATATTTCTCTGATTAGACCATGTTCACAAGACATTTTTATGTTATAGTACAATCACATAAAACGGAAACACTTGTACAGTAGAAATGCACATAATGAACCTGTGCTGAGGGAAACGTTAAATAAGCTACAATGGATATTTTACCAATAATATATCAAATGCCAATGTGAATGGAGTCTCATAGATTCATCTACAAAGAATGAACTGAGCAGGCAACTCCTCTCAGCCTCACAGAGCCTTATTATAATGAGTTTCAGCTCACTGTGCAACTGTCCAGTTAGTAAACCTAGCTCTCTGTTATAACAAGATACTTGTTCGAATGAGATGCGTTCAAGTTAAAATGAGATTTTCCTCATTATTACAACATGTTGTATTTTTTTCCTTATGAAGCCATAAGCTACTGTATTTTCCCATAATGGCGTGAGCCATGCACAGCTTGGAGTTAGTGCAGCGCACACACTCACTTTGAGCAATTCAACAGCCCCTCTCTTCTCAACACCTCCTATTTCAACTTTCCACACAATGACTAGCGTTGCACCGAAGAGGTGCGCTCCAGCCGGTGCTTGGTAATGACTAATCAGACAGTTAAATCCACACAGTAATTAGTCCACAAAATAACACGAATGCTACTCGTGAGCAAATACTCTGCACTTCCTGATTATGTTTTAGGCATTACTGACAATAGATGAAGTCAGTGTGTCTGCTGTTACTCACACCAAGTTGCGCAGGACTCACATTAGGGAGTAGACTTGATGTGATCCACTTTAGGGGTGTGATGTGATATACTGGATAGCTCCTTTGAAACTACATATGTTGCTCATGCAATGGCCCCCAGATGCAGTGGCCTAATACTTGAGCAAGATAATTAAGAAATGTACACGCAGTGCGTATGGGAATAAGGCTGCAGTCACCACTGTTCACATAACTAGGCTACCAGGTGGAAATAAAGTATACATGTTGTCAAACATCTGACAGTACTCATGTATGAAAATTTGTCATTGTTCCCACCCCTAACTGCAATAGAAGTTAGCCCTAGCCCGTTAGTTTACCATCTTTTCTCATTTTGGTATGTCAGGCAGCGATTTGCTCAATATGCTTATACTCATAGAAGCTTGGGTTACAGTACATAACCATCGTTCTATTGTGTATAGGCCTGGCCCTCTAAGAGTTGTCCTACTGGGATAAAAGCATAACTGGATGTCGCCAATGCCCAGCTAGCTCACCGAAGCCCATTATAAAGAAACGTCTCAGCCCAAAGCCCATACCCAACTGTAGCAGGCCAAAGGTAGAACACCCCCTCTCCTGTGACAGGCCCTTGTCCATATTGCAAGCACCATTGCGCTGAGAGGGACCACTAAATGCACTTACCTGACCGAAATCTCATTTATTTTGATAGGTTTTATTCATAGCTCACTTGGACTCATACATTTGGACAACATTTTGTAAAATACTTAAAAAAAAGATTAAATATCCACAATATGATACAACCAAAAGTTGATGAAAAAAATTGAATTATAGCCCAGTTCTAGATAACCTAAACTTTTGTTATGTATTGTGTCCTTGTTGGATAAAGAAAACTACAAGATAACGGAAGTCTTAGTTTTGTGCACATAAGCACATACGTTTAATTACCATGGGGAGCGGGGAAAGAAGGGAGGTTCACATAAGTGAGGATGAGGGAATATTAGGAAAACTGAAACCATCCCTCTCACACACAGCAGAGACAGCCACATGACAATCACAAATTCTTTCCACCCCTACATGGTAAAGTCAGTAACACTTGACTGGTGGTGGTTGTTGATGTAAAGCACTCTAGAAAAAATCAGGTTTGAATGCTGCACCCTAGACAAAGATGAGGCCCAAACTATAACAAAATGTTAACTACCTCAGCGGGGCGTAATACATAAAACACTTAAAAGCAAGAGTTAGCAGGTCTCACAGAGAGGAAATAAGTTCACAGTTAATTGCTTCATCTTTTTTTTTCTGCCAAATAAACCCCCAACTCGTTGCCTAGGATGCAGCCACTTTTTCTACAAAGCAACAAAATAAATACTGAATACAATTAAACAACATCAAGAAGAAGAAACATTTTCCTATCAATCTTGTTTAACTGTGAACATTGAATATTAACAGTGTTTGTTTCCAGACTACAGTGCACAAAGCTTCCTGTAGCCTTCTAAAACTAAGAACACAGTGTCTGAGTTTTCTCTAGTGCTTTTACAGACAACCAAACCTGATCATCTAAATGGTGCCATCCAGGGTTTGTGTCAATGTGCTTGAGTTAGCCTGTTTGAGTTGCAAATCACTTTCGATTTCCTGCTTGCCACACCTGTGGAAAACCAGTCAGATTTCGTGTCACTGCCAACAATTAAATCAGCCCCTAAATAACTGTGTTCACATTCAACAGTTTATCCAATTTAAGCTACAAATTCCATGCAAGTCTTTAACGTGTGTGCTGAATAAAACAATAAAATAAGGATCTTCTAAATGGAACATCTTTGATTTTACGAGTACTCCAAAAAGTTAGCATTGCACTCCTATAACAGTGTAGAATACTACACAACTGGAAGGAGCATTTAATTATGACAGACTGAGACTGACGCATGTTTATTGTGGCTGAGCTTAAAACAAAAACAAACAACATACACTGCCAGTAAAAGGTTTGGCCACACTTTGCCGTTAATTTGAATTGAACAGTGTGTCCAAACTTGACTGGTATTGGGTGAGAAAGTGCCATAGCTTACCCAGAGACTGGTCCATTTCCTGTCCTTTCATTTGACTGCTGGTCCAACTCTGAGAGTAGCTTCAGTATATTAAGTGCAGCCTGTGGAGGTGAAGAACAGTTCAGGTTACTGCAGTGATCAATTTCACCAGGCAACTGCTACTCACTAAAGTAGTCACTTGTGAAATAAGAGTTATATTGTCTTGGGAGCATGTACTGTAAAAAGGAGCTGATGCTCAGGAAGCAGTGACTCTGTATACTATAGTTTCCAATTTGAAAACATCTGCTTTAGCTATGTGTTAAGGCTGCACAGTCTACACTGGTTGGCAAAGAAACTGAAGTAGAAACTCCTAGGGGTGATGTACAAAGTGGCACTTTTTTAGCTACAATGCTAATGTTGCTAGCAGTAGATCACTACACTAGAGGCTCAAACACTATATATAAAAACAATCTTAGTAGTGGTAGTTGCATGCTGCTGTTTCATAAGTTAACTAGGTTGCCTGTCTTTGTCTGATCTGGATATGAGGGTCATATGTTATTTGACAGTTTGGGAAATTCAGTAGGCTAACTAGTTTCGTATCAGTTCATACAGTGGTCAACAATGATTGGCTGCATGCACAAAGATCAGCACAACTAGGGTTAAAGTTCAACTAAATTAAACTTTCAGCACACATTTGCAATATTTCCTAGTCACTGCTGAGGTATCCAAACCCCTACTATACTAAAGGTTTACAGTGGCTTTTGGCTCAGTGTTTGTCTTTTCTACAGTCATTCTTCATAGTCATTAGATTGTTAGAGTATTAAATCATGAACATGCATTTAGCAGTTTTTGAACTAAATACTCACCATATCATGACAGGATTCTACGTCTTTCCCAATCCCATGACTGATGAGTGGTGGCTGAGAGGAGCAGTTGATGAGTGACACAAACTCATTCTTATTGTTTTTTGGAAAATCTTTGTATTCCACCTGCAGGCAAATAAAATCATTCAGTGATAAAAAACAAAACTCTTTTTTGCATGTGCTGCATGGTCTTGTTTATTAAAGCAGAACACAGTTACCTGCAGACCCTGCACAGATGCAAGGTAGCTGAGCTGTTCCGAGGGCCTGGTGAGGGGTCCGTGGGGCAGTTGGTTCAGGTTATTTTTGTTCTTCAGGATAGTCTCAGCGGTCAGGGATGTGCCTGCATAAAGCAGCTCATTGGCAATCATGGCAGTAATTGTGGCCTTGCCTGGGTTGGACAGAGCTCGACTGTAATCCTTGACCTGGGATCCTTGGCAGACCCCGACTGCTTGAGCCACCTCAGGCACCATGGGCAGGATACCTGCAGGCAGCTGCTGGGGGCTCAGGTAAGGCAGGCGGAAGTCTTCCTCCTTGGAACCTTAGATGAAAAACAGAACACCACACATTCTAAATCACATTCATTAACAAAAATAAAATGATAGATTGTACAGTATGACCACTAAAAAAAAAAAAAAACTAACCCAAAGCCACCTCCTCTACAGAGCCGGGTTCAAAGAAGGTCACTTTCCGACCATCTCCAGGTTTTTTCACTGGGGTCTAATTAATACAAAAACAATATGCAAGTTTAACACAATATCTTGCCTGTGTTATGTTTATAAGACTTGGTTAATAAAAGTACCTTTTCATCAGTTTTGAGTGCCGGTTTAGGGGGCTGAGGCTGAGGCACTTTATATCCCAAAAGCTCCAGCATTTTCTCTGCTGCATTCCTCTTGGCCACCTTCTTGCTAGGTCCCATTCCCTCTGCAGACTGGCCACACACAGTCACCTGTACCAGATCAAAAAAACCAAATGGGTGAGAAATTAATATGCAAAGGAAAACGGAGCCAGATACTGCATAAGCCATGAAACCAGCATACCTAGGCTGCTGCTGGCTTACCTGCATGACAAACTCCCTGCGCCGTGGTAGACCTCTCTCAGTCACAATGCTGTATTCTGGCTCCTTCTCCTTCTTGGCTTGCTGGATCTGAGCCAAGCGACTGATGGGATTCATACCCTGACCATACTCTGGGCTGGTCTGCAGCTGTAGGTGTGACAGATTAATCAATATTTAATGAAGACTCTTTAGGTCTGTATTGATTATCCTCAGTCCACTACCTGCACTACCTTGATGATGGATTTGGTTTTCTTTTTGATGCGTGGCAGCGTCTTTTCCACGCTGGGTATATGGGGTAACTTCTTCAACTCCCCCAGCACTGCTGCTGCTGCAAGCTTCTTGGCTATCTTTTTAATCTTTCCCTCACCCTCTCCAGTGAACTCCCCAACAATAACACGCACTACAAAACTCTTCATGTGTGGAGGGCCTTCTTCCTTTAAAACCTGGGGGGTGGGGGGAGGGAATCAAGACTTGCAAATTAAGATGTGGAGAAGCGCTGATGTTCCATAACTGAACTGGGTAAGAACCTGGGCAATGCCATGCATGTTATCTACACATTAATGAAATAATGTATTCCTTTTAAAATTTATAAAAAGAAATGTAAAAATAACCTCAAAGTTGACAGGTAAGTTGCGCTTAAGTGCAATTTCAAACACTTGACTAATTTCTGATTTGTTGAGGTTCTCCTCCTCAGGCTCTCCATTCATCTGTCAAGAGCAGAATTGTATATTTAAAAACAGAAAAGCAAGAAGTCAGAATAAACTTGCATTACTTCACACTGTGTGCGCCTCCTTTCTCACCACTGGCAACTGCTGAAGTATTGGCTCCTTCTGGAGCACTTTCAGGGCCTTGGCAGCAGCATCATGCTTGGCTAACTGCCGCGTGCGTCCCTTCCCGAAAAACTGCTGGCCTCCGATGGAAAGCTCCATGTGGTATGTCACTGGTCCTACTGGAGGAAAGGGATAGTAGTACCTGGACACAGAAGAAAGTCAAATGCAAACATTTCCATCTTCAAAAAAAGAATTATATAATATAACATTAGGACAAAATGGTCATCTAACTTTCAAGTGAGGGAAACTCACTGTTGCATAGAGCGCTGGTAAGGCCCTGGAGCCCGGACATTGTAGCTGAAGTTTGGTGGTCTCATCCCCGGGTATGGGTCAATGGGTTTATAAAGAGGCTTTTTACCAAGCTTCATACATAATGCATTCAACTCCATGGTATGTGTTATGCCATCTGCTATAAAACCAACACACATAAAAACAACAAAAGTGAAAGATACAAGAATGAGTACAAGGATGAGGCAGCGACAGAGCCAGTGGGAACAGCCCACCTGAGTTCTTGCCTGTGTTACGGGGTGTCCTCACAGTGGGCTTCGGAAGTGTTGTCTCAGAAAGGGCAGCAGCAGCAGCAGAATGCTGGGCTTTCTTGATGCTGGTCCCCTCTGCATCCCAGTGCTGATCTCCCAGAGTGAGCCTCACTGAGAAAATCTGACAGAGGAAAAACATTATATCTTCTTACTACCATGAACTTGTGATAAAGACAGCAGCATTGATGAAATCACATCATAGGGTAGTTCGTACTCTTACTGTACCTTGGAGTGAGCTGGTCCTTGCTCACAGAGCAGCTTATACTCAGGTTGGATTTTGTTGAAACGGGCTAACTCATTCACCAAACACATGGGGGTCTTCTCTTTAGGGTTTGCCATGTTAGATACTATAACAACAAAAATACCCAAAGCTTTTACATTTAAGTAGGCATGATTTTTAACACAATTGCAAAAGGTTGCTCCTATTCCTAAAGTCTGAGGACAAACACAGTCAAGAGAGATATGCAAGAACTTCTGAAACAAATGAGCATAAAAATTTATAATATTTCAAATGCAATGGCTATGATCTGTAGATATCCCTCCATAAATATGTACATTTTGATGGATATATGTGGGATGAGTTTAAAATGCAAGGAATCCAATATACAGTGGGTACGGAAAGTATTCAGACCCCCTTAAATTTTTCACTCTTTGTTATATTGCAGCCATATGCAAAAATCATTTAAGTTCATTTTTTTCCTCATTAATGTACACACAGCACCCCATATTGACAGAAAAACACAGAATTTTTCACATTTTTGAAAAAGAAAAACTGAAATATCACATGGTCATAAGTATTCAGACCCTTTGCTGTGACACTC